TTGTTTTCTTGATTTCTTTTTCAGATTGTTATCAGTGCACATAAATGCCACTGATTTTTGTGTGTCGATTTTGTATCCTGCAACCTCACTGAATTAGTTTATTAGTTCTATCAGGTTTTGGTGGAATGTTTAGGTTTTTCTTTTCTTTTTTTTTTTTTGGAGACGGAGCCTCAAGCTATCCCCCTGGGTAGAGTGTCATGGCATCACAGCTCACAGCAACCTCCAACTCCTGGGCTCAAGCGAGTCTCCTGCCTCAGCCTCCCAAGTAGCAGGGACTACAGGCGCCCGCCACAACGCCTGGCCATTTTTTGGTTGCAGCCATCATTGTTGTTTGGCGGGCCCAGGCTGGGGATTCGAACCCGCCACCTTAGGTGTATGTGGCTGGCGCCTTAGCCGCTTGAGCCACAGGCGCCGAGCCATGTTTAGGTTTTTCTAAGTGTACAGTTATGTCATCTGTGAACAAGGCTAATTTGAGATCTTTTCCAATTTGGATGCCCTTTACCTCTCTTGACTGACTGCCCTTCCCTTTGTGGCCTTTTGTGTCTGCTTCCTTCATGACCACAATGCTTATAAGGATCACTGTGTTGTAGCTCAGATCAGTAGTTTATTATTGCTAATTATGTTATCGATTCACCCATGTTTGATGAAAATTTGGGTTGTATCCACCTTTTGGCTGTTACAAATGGTGCTGCTATGAATATGCACATATACGTTTTCATGTGAAGATATATTTTGACCTCTCTGAGGCATATACCTGGAGGTAGAGTGGCTGTGACTTTGGCTCATCTGTCTCTTCCAACAGTGTGGGCATCTAGCACAGAGGTGGCAGTTCCTCACAGTAATGTGGACTTTAATGCCTCTGTGGAAGCATGAAGACCCAGAAGTCAACTTGACTGTGTCTACCTGGGCCCTCATACTTTTGTGCCAGTAAGACACCCAGAGCTGAGGTGGAGGTTTTCTCCCCAGACCTACATCCTGTGTCTGCATTAGTGTAGGAACACAGTACTGAGGTGACAAATTAATGTCCTCACTTGGACCCTTATGCATGGGGATTAGTATAGTCACCCAGGTGAGGGGAAAGTTAGGTATTTTTACCTGGCCTTCATGCCTTGACTATATTTTGGTGCTCAGATATGAGGTGAGACTTCCCTAACCTGGCCCTCATGCCTCAGTCATGATGTAGACACATGGAGCTGAGATGCTAGTTGACTTTTCCCCATTCATGGTGTCATGCTTCTTCCCAAGTGTAGAAACCCAGCTTGAGATAACATTGATTGCTTTAACCTGGGCTTTCATGCCTTTTTGCTGTATGGGCACCACAATCTGGGCTGTCAGTTGTCAGATGTCACTTGGGGTCTCATGTATGTGTACCAGTATAGGCAAGCAGCATGAGGTGACAGAGACTGCTTCTCTTGTTTATGCCCCAGTGGAGAGACCACATTTCTTATGTCATTGAGTGCCCTTATGTCCCTGCTTCAGTGTCGGCCCCTAGAACTGAGGTGACAGTTGAATGCCCTCATCTGATCCTTCATTCCCCTCTCCCAGTGAGGAGCCAAACACTGAGTTGTTAGGTAATGGCACTCACATGGGCCTGTAAGATGTGCCCCAGAGTTGGCAGCAGAGCTTGCGTGCCTCTTGACTGGCCTTACCTGAGATCCCCTGCCTCTATTCCAGTTTAGGCAACCAGAGTTCAGGTGCCAGAGGAGACCCCCACCTTCATGCCTCTGCCTAAGTTTAATGACCCAGAGATGAAGTGACAGTTGAATCACCTCAATGGTCCCTTGTTCTCCTTTCCAATATAGGCACCAATATTTGTGCTTTCAGTTGACTTCCTGCACCTGGACCTCTTGCATCAGTCTCAGTGTAGGCTACAGTGCTCAGGTGTCAGTTGACTGTCATCACCTGAGACCTCTTGCCTCTATCCTATCTTATCTGTATCAGAGCTGACAGTTGAGTGCCCTTACTTGGACCCAAATTCCTCTGCCACAGAGCAGACATTTGGAACTGAAGTGACAGTTGACTGTTCTCATCTGACCTTTCATACCTCTGTTTAACAACCCACAGTTGAGGCTTGGTGCCTGTGGCTCAAGTGGCTAAGGCGCCAGCCACATACACCTAAGGTGGTGGGTTCGAATCCAGCCCGGACCCGCCAAACAACGACGGTTGCAACCAAAAAATGGCCAGGCGTTGTGGCGGGCGCCTGTAGTCCCAGCTACTTGGGAGGCGGAGGCAGGAGACTCCCTTGAGCCCAGGAGTTGGAGGTTGCTGTGAGCTGAGATGCCACGGCACTCTACCCAGGGGGACAGCTTGAGGCTCTGTCTCAAAAAAAAAAAAAAACCCCACAGTTGAGGTGACAGTTAAGTGTCTCAGTCACTCCCTCATTCTTCTTTCGCAGGTAGGTACCAAGATCTGGGCTTGTGGTTAATTGCTGTCACCTGAGTTCTCATGGCTCTGACACACGTGAGCTGGTATTTGAGTGCCCTCTGCTGGGCCTCATGTCTTGGTCCCAGGGTAGCTTCCATGCCTGACATGCAACAGGTGTGTCATGCTTTGGGTTCTCAAGCTGTGTCAGGACCCCTATCTGAGGTAACAGTTGAATGCTATCTCCTGCTCCTCCTGCCTCTACCTGTGCTTAGGCACCCAGGGCTGAGTTAAACGTTGACTCTCCACACCTGAGCCCTTGACCTCACCCTAGTCTAGGCAGCCAGAGGTCAGGTGATAGTTGAATGCTAGAACCTGGACATAATGCCTCTACCCCAGTGCAGAGATGCAGCACTGAGGTGACAGTAGACTGTCTCCACCTAGGCCCCCTCCCTGTATCCCAGTGTAGGCAGGCACACAGAGTTTTGGTGTCAGTTAAAAGCCCTGACTTGGGTCTCATACCTCAGCACCAATATTGGCATCCAGAGCTGAGATGAAATATCTGCCCCAGGGTAAGCATACAGATATGAAGTGACAGATGACTTTCCCTACTGTGTTTGTCATCCTTTTCTCTCATGTGGGCCTCAGAACTGAGGTGATAACTTGTCTCAATTCTGTGGTCTCTAAGGCCTGCTGTACAATGTATTCACCCAGAGGTGAAGTGACAATTGGCTGTCCTTAGCTGGTCCCTCACACCCGTGACTCAGGTTAGGCACCCAGGGTTCAAGCAGCAGTTGGTTATCCTCATCAGGGTCCTTATCTTTTTGTCCTTCATAGGCACCCAGAGGTCAGGTGACAGTTGAGTGTCCTTATCAGGGTCTTCCTGCCTGTCACAGTGTAGGCACTCAGAGCAGTCTCAGATTGAGAGGTCTCCATGCTCCCTGATTCCCACTCACATGCAGTCGCTCCTGTGCTGGGTACCTCATGTGGAGCTGGGTTCCTTCTCCACTTTGGGCTCCCACTGCTGCTCCTACGTAGGAAAAGTGCCCCTCAGTGACACCATGCCAGTAGGTCCCATAGCAGACAACTATGTTAGGTCTTTGCAGTCCATAAACATGGGGGACAGGAAGAGTGCAGTGCTCCTGGAGGTCAGGGCCCTATGCTTTCAGTTTGTCTGGGATCAGTGCCATCCCTAGGGTCCTACTTTAGACTTAGAGGATGCAGGGCCACCGGCCCAGGACACTGTTTCCCAGGAGCAGAATTGATGACAGTGCCCCCTGGTGGTGAGTGGTGGGGAGGTTCAGACACAACTTTGTGGTGGTGGTGGGGAGCTCTGTTGTATTCCAGCCCTCATGTCACCTTGGGTCTGTCACAGAGCTTAGCCTGACCACTTCAGCTTCATGGAGGCCACATCGCTGGGAGTCAAGGGCAATAAAGCCATACAGATCATTTCTAACCACATAGCCACGGTCATGTAAAGCATGATGGGCCCAGTGATACTGATGAGACCCGGAAGTGACTGTGGAGGTGGTGTTGAGAACTTGAGACTGACCATATTCACTCACTTGAGTTTTCCCTCCTGGCTGCCCAATTAGCTCTGTCTAATTTCCCATGGTAGACAGCATAGGCTGACTTAAGTCCCAGAACACGGAGGGTGACAGCCTTGCTGCTTGCACATACATTTCCTCTCCTAGGCCTTGCCTTGCAATCTGACAGCAAATTGGAGGGAGTGGTGTCAGCTGGCCTGTGGTCTTCACTCCTGCCAAGCTCTTGTTGACAGTCTGAGGATCTGGCGCTATGGCCACAGGCCTCCTTTGTCCTAGAACATCAGACACTGCAATTCACAGGGCCTATAGGTGCATGTCCTCACCTCTGCTGGGAGCAGTCTTCCTCTCCTGGTTCTATTTCTGGGTTGCTGGTTTGCTTCCTTCATAAAACACAGCACTACCTCATCATTTTGTCTTTCATCAGCCTCAACTAGAACCTAGGCCACAGTACAGGGAACATGGTGTTGGCAGGACAAATGCCATGCTGAGATATTCAGGGGCTGCTATACTTGTTGGGGGCAGTGTAGAGGACTGAAGAGTGGGCCCCCAAACTCACACCCACTTGGAGTCTCTGAAGGCAGCATTATTTGGAAATGGTGTCTGCAGGTGTGGTCAGCTGAGTTAGGCTGAGGTGGGCCCTGATCCAGCATAAATGGGGCCTTTATAAGATGGGAGGGAAGCCACACACTGCGAAAAGGTGGCCACGTGAGAAGTGAGGCAGAGTAGGGTGAGGCAGCTGTAAGCAGCAGCTGGAAGAGGCAAGGAGGCCCCTCCTCTAGAGCCTCTGGAGGGAGCTCAGCCATGCCCACACCTGGAATTTGGACTCTGGCCTCCAGAGTAGGGCAGAATCCATTTTTGGATTGGAGCTTGTATGAGTGTCCTGCGGCTGCTGTCACAAAACACCAGAGATTCGGGAAACACCTCTCCTCCCTAAATACTTCTGCAAGTAGTATTTGTAAGGAGAGGTGATGCTGTGGTCACACCTGGACATGGGGTCAGGCCCAGAGGTGAGGAGCCTGAGGGAGGGAGGCTGCAGAACAAGTGTGCAGGTGCACAGGGAATGGGGGAAACAAGTGACAAGGGGACAGAAAGAGCTGTTTGCAGATTTAATGGAGGGTGACTAAGGTGGGGGATCCATTCTACTGCTTCTGCTTTTCCTGCGGTGGGGACGCTGCTGCGAGTGGGGTGGGTGCCATGGAGTGCAGAGTTGGTAGGACTGGGGGACTTCCAGGGACCCCAGACATTGCTGGGCAGCACCAGGTCCCTTCCAGCTGGTGACCAGGAATGTGGAGTGGCACTGAGACTGTTGTGGCTGAAAGCAGGTTCTCTCACATCCCAAGTTCTGAGAAGCCTGCCCACAGCCACCAGGGGACATGGTTTGGCCACTGCCCCACTGAGGCCCACAGCTCCTCCCATAGTCCTTGACTCCTGCCCTAGGTTGTCATTAGTTCCAATGGCTGAGGAACCCTGGGACAGACATGCCACCCTTCACCTCCCTTCTGTTTGGGCTGGAGTGAGGGGAAGCTTGTTTAGAAAGGGCCTGAAGGGGGCCTGGGATTTCACAGCATGAGTCTCGAGTGCTTGGCGGCTGAGGAATGTAGCTGGGATCGGGCAGCAGCAGCAAGGGGGGGGGACAAAGGTGGCCCAAGCCTGGCACCAGGAATGTAAAGCTGAGGCCAATGGTCCCGAAGTCCTCCTGATGTGGAATCGGGTGGTGGAAAGGAGAGACAGAGTGGCTGAAGTAGAGGGTGGGGGCAGGCAGCGGGCTCAGAGCTTGTGAGGGTTCACCCACTTGTACGTGCCCTCATATTGGAAGCCCACTCTCTTCATCAGCTCATCTGCTTCCACGGGGCCTCGGCTGTGGGGGCAGAGGGGAGGGAGGCAGGCAGAGTGTGGTGAGGGAGGCCTGCCCAGCTCCATCCTGCCCGGCTGTGTCTCACCCGGCTCCCTCCCGCCCTGCCCTCACCTGCCATAAACATAGGGGATGGGCTTGGGCTTCTCTTGCTCAATCTTGTGCAGCAGTGGGGTGAAGATCCGCCAGGCCTCCCGGAGCTCATCACTGAGAGGACACAGTGTGGCTTGAGAGGGAGGCAGCACGGAGGGAGGGGAAGGGACAAGGCCACCCCCATAGTCCCAGGGACCCTCACCTGCGCACAAAGTGCATCTGGCTCCCACAGAAGACGTCCAGGATGAGGCGCTCGTAGGCATCAGGGAGCTTCACATTCTACAAGGGGAAGGGGTCTTGCTGACACACGGCAGTTTTCCTGGGTCCAGCGCCCCCTGCTGGCCCATCTCCCAAGGGGTACCTTGTATCTGTTGCCATAGGTCAGGTCCAGCTCTGACTCTTCAGGGTTGAAAAACATGCCGGGCTTCTTGGTCATCATCTTGGTGTACACGGCCTCGTTGGGCTGCACACGGATCACCAGCTCGTTGCGCTTGCACTGCTGGTGGAAGATGTCACCGGCCACATCTCGGAACTGCAGGCGCACCTCAGCCTTGCGCTCATTCAGGGCTTTGCCACAGCGCAGGATGAAGGGCACCCCTGGTTGGGGGGCAAAGTTAGGTTCAAGGCCAGCTCTCTTGGTGGTGTGGGTCATGTGAGTGTGAATGGCATGGGGGTATGGCAGGGTACACCATCCCACCTTTGCCAGGCCTCCTCCCTCCAGTAGCAAGTAGGTCTCCCAAGTGCATGCCCTGCCCTGCCTTCCCAGGGCCTGGAGATATCACCTACCGTCCCATCTCTCATTGTCCACATACAGGACAACAGCTGCAAAGGTGGCGGTGGTGGACCCATGGGGCACTGTGGGGTCATCCAGGTACCCTTTGGTGGCCTCGCCCTCTCCACTGGGGTTCCCCACATACTGGCCCAGGACCACGTTGTTGGCCTGCACCTCTGAGATACATTTCAACACTTTGACCTGGGAGAAAGCAGGGGTAGGGTGAACCCCTAGGTGATGACGTGGAACACAGGTGGCAGATGTGAGAAAGCTGGGTAGACCCAGCAGGGGGGCTTCCCCATAGGGTGAGTGTGCCCTGCAAATCGGCAGCCCAAGGATAGGCTTTGTCTCCACTCACTATGTCCAGGAGTACAGCCATAGGTCCCTTCCCTGAGGTCCCTCTGGGACCACCCTGGCCCACTCTTGTTTTCTCTGAGGAAGGTGAAGCAATGGCCTGGCCTGGTTGCACTGTGCTGTCAGACCTGGGACATGCCAACCTGGGCTTCATGACTCCCAGAGAGGGTACCTATAGCAGGTGCCCCATGTTCAGGGCTGGGAGATTATGCAGGGGACAAGGACACTTGCTGTTCGCACATCTTGCTCTTCATCTTGTCATAGACATTGTGGGTGCAGGTGCTGGGGCCCAGGAGGGTACCCCCAACCTACCTTCTCATCACGGACATCGTCTGAGTCAGTGGAGGCAGGCTTCTCCATGGCCACCAGACATAGCATCTGCAGGAGGTGGTTCTGCATGACATCCCTGGGGGCAGAAGAGGCCGCAGCTCTGTCAGCACCACTCACAGGTTGGAAGAAAGCAGTGAGGAAGGGGCCTCTTAGCCCCTCCCTGTCAGCCAGGTTCGGGGGGGGGGCAGTGTCTGCAACAAGGCTTTCTAGCTGCAGCTGCAAGATTTACTTCCTGATTCCTGCGGTCTCCAGGTCCCCATAAGCAAGCAAGTACAGCAACCCTGCCTCTGAGCCAGGAAGCCCCTGTGGGGTGTGGCTACCCTCTAAAGCTCAGATGCTCAGATTCTGACCCTTGGGATGGGAGGAGGGACCACCCACAATAGGGAGGGCCAGCCCTGCATGATGGCCACGCCGCATGCTGGCCTCCCACGAAGGGGAGACAGGCTCTCACCGGATGATCCCAAATTCATCGAAATACCCCCCACGGCCCTCAGTGCCAAAGGGCTCCTTGAATGTGAGGATAACACAGGCAACATTGTCCCGGTTCCAGATGGGGCCGAAGATCCTGTTGGCAAATCTGTGGGGATGAAAAGGGCAGAGGCTGGTGTGGCAGAGGGGAGGGGCTGCATTCTGAAGAGACTTGTCTTGGGACAGCAGGACAGTGGATACTCCCTGAGCAACACTTCTGACACTGTCCCCCAGCCCTACCTCAGCACCATGAGATTCTGCACCATCTCCTTGCCCAGGTAGTGGTCGATGCGGTAGATCTGGTCCTCACGGAACAGGGAAGAGATGTGGTTGGACAACTGGTCGGAGCTCTGCAGGTCCCTCCCAAAGGGCTTTTCCACGATGACACGGTTCCAGCCTCTGCCAAGAGCCCAGAGTCACGTCACCTCCTTGGAACACTTCAGGGAGCAGGGGTCATAGGTGTGTTACCTAATTGCCCCAAGGAACAGAGCCTCCCTCCCCCTTTGGATCCTCAGCTTTGGTGGGCTGGCTCCTTCCCCGACTTTCTGTCCTTAGCTCTCAACACCAGACTCAACACCTTTTCAGAAACCTTCCTGCCAACTTGCAGGTGCTGGGCAGCACTGTTGGCATGTCCCAGAGTCCCAGTGTGGGGGAGCAGAGGGAGGGGCCGCCAAGAGCTCGGGTTCACCACTGACTCCTGACTGGGCCTCCCAGAGTGCTGGGGCCACAGGCGTGAGCCACTGCACTCTTTCCCCACTGGTTTTAAAATGAGAAAAGGGCCTTTTCTTTGCTGTCCCGTGCACAAGACCAGGAAGGGGTGGGAGATGGCTGCTAGTCTGGGAATGGGTGGGAGCTCAGACCACTTTGCCACCTGCTCGTGGAGAGATATTGCCACCTTGTGGCTATGATGGAGACTCAGGAAAAGCCAGAGAGTGAGCGATCGGCAGCGAGTGTTTCATGGGGCAACACTGCCACCTTGTGGTCTAGGCGGAGACTTCTACCAGGGACCTTGATTTCCCACGTGAGGGACGTTGAGGCCGTACATGAGCACTTGAACCACAATCTGAACCCTAAAAGTGGGTATTGGCCCAGCGTGGTGACTGCAGCTTGTAATCCTAGCACTTTTGAAGGCTGAGGTAGGTGGACTGCCTGAGCTCAGGAGTTTGAGACTAGCCTGAGCAAGAGTGAGAACCCATCTCTACTAAAAACAGAAAAACTAGCCAGGTGTCGCGGCAGATGCCTATAGTCCCAGCTACTTGGGAGGCTGAGGGAAGAGAATCACTTGAGCCCAGGAGTTAGAGACTGCTGTGAGCTACGACACATGGCACTCTACCCAGAGTGACAGAGTGAGACTCTGTATCAAAAAAAAAAAAAAAAAAGATGGCTATTAACATTTCCAGTAAATGCTGTTAGAAAACACCACAATCATAGCCTATTCCCCTCTTTGGAGAGCTAGTTTGTTAGTGAACAAACAGAGGGCACCTGTCCTTTCAACTGCCTAGACCTGTTTGACCCAGGGCTCTTCGGAGCAGTGGCAAGCACCTGGTTGGCCAGCATAGGACCTTAGCCAGGGCAGGCCAGGGTAGGCCATGGTGGCAGGGGCAGGTAGAGGACAAGCCTTACGTCTGGCTCATGCAATTCTCGTGGATGTTCTTGGTGACGGCCTCATAGACTGTGGGGGGTAGAGCCAGGTAGAAGAGCCGGTTGGCCTGAGCCCCTGGGTGCAGCGCATTCACGTGAGTGTTAAGGCGCTTGTAGGAGGCTGCATCATCATACTGGCCGGCCACGTACGAGTTGCGGGCAAAGAACTCCTCCAGCTTGTGCTTTTCCTCTGGGGTGGCCTAGAGAGACAGAATGACAGATGCTGGCCCCTCCCTTAAGAGTCCCTGTCTGTTCTGCCCCAGGGGAGGGGCTATCTCATTTATGTCCTCTCATCCCATAGCCAAGGTGGGCTTCCTATGCTGGGTTCAGCACCATCTCACCAATGTGGCACATCCAGGGGAGGGGCTGAAGCAAGCAGCAGGCATGCTGTGGGGAGATGCAGCCAGGCCACTTGTCATGATGGCCACCCCTGCACATCCCTAGGGACCTTGTGCCCTAACACAAAAGTGAGATTTCTTTTTTTTTTTTGCAGTTTTTGGCCGAGGCTGGGTTTGAACCCGCCACCTCTGGCATATGGGGCCAGCGCCCTACTCTTTTGAGCCACAGGCGCCACCCCAAAAGTGAGATTTCAGGAAACTTTGACCTGGGATAAATATACTCTCTTTAAAATCATGACACCAGGCTTGGCACCTATAGCTCAACGGGCTAAGGCGCCAGCCATGTACACCTAAGGTGGCGGGTTCGAATCCCCAGCCTGGACCCGCCAAACAATGACAGCTGCAACCAAAAAATAGCCGGGCGTTGTGGCGGGCGCCTGTGGTCCCAGCCACTTGGGAGGCGGAGGCAGGAGACTCGCTTGAGCCCAGGAGTTGGAGGTTGCTGTGAGCTGTAATGCTACGGCACTCTACCCAGGGGGACAGCTTGAGGCTCTGTCTCAAAAAAAAAAAAAAATCATGACACCAAATTATAATGTATTAGGAAAATGCAGCTCCAAAGGGTTTCTCTTGGTTGAGAGGCATCTGTCAATTCTTTTCTAGCTCCTGGCAAAACCAATCTGGCCCCAGAGTGTAGCAGAATGGAGCCAGTGAGTCCTATTTAGAGGGTGGCTGGGTGATAGGGGTTCTCTGTGCCCACAGCCCTTCCTGCTAAGGAAGTGGCAAGAGCAGGTGGGGCAGTTTTCAGCCCCAATTTGGCAGGCAGAGTGCATAGCTTTGGAGAAGGCAAGGAGGCCAGATGCTAGGGCCTTAGAACAAGGAAGGAGGGAACAGCATCCCAAGATAGGATGAGAGGATGTCTCCTAGGGGCTACCTGAAACTAGTCTCACTGGGAACTGGGAGAGAGGATAGAACCAGGCCAGGGGATACCCTGAAGCCACTCACTTTGAAGAAAGGCTCACTCTGCTTGCGGATGTCAGCCACCGTGAGGCGGGAACGGGCATAGCCCACAATGAAGGTATCTTCAGGCAGAAGGCCATCCCGGAACAGCCACCTGAGGGCAGAACACAGCCATAGCCAGGATGTGGGGGACAGGGCCAGGCCTGTTCCTGCTGGGGAGGCCATAGGGGCAGTGAGGGGATATACTCACCAGATGGTGGGGTAGATCTTCTTTTTGGCCAGGTCACCCTGTGACAGAGGGAACAAGTATGGTTAAAAGAAGCTGGGGACATGATCTACATTGTCCTCTGCTCTGCTAGCTCAGGACTGCCACTCAGTTACAAGCGTTATCTGTCTTGCTCTTAGATACAGCCCTGAGATCCAAGTCTGCGTGAGCCCTTTCCCACAACCCGGAAGGCATAAACACATCTCCTTTGGTAGTAATTCTTAAACTATATAAAAATATTAAAACTTAAACACATCTCATGTCTTTAAGGTGAAAACCTGAAAATTCAATCCAGTAGAACTGAATGAGCATAGACATATCATGTAACCAAACTTGTGAGATGTGGCCTCAACTGTTTACACTAGTGAAAAAAGAGTAGCTTGAAGATAATTAGCTAAGGATTCCATTTACGAAGTTAGATAAAAGAGGTAGGTGTGGTGGCTCACGCCTGTACTCTCAGCATTCCAGGAGGCTGAGGTGGGAGGATTCCTTGAGCTCAGGAGTTGAGACCAGCCTGAGCCAGACAGATATCGCATCTCTAAAAATAGCTGGGCCTTGTGGTGGGGCCTGTAGTCCCAGCTACTCAGGAAGGTGAGGCAGGAGGATCCCTTGATCCCAGGAATTTGAGGTTGCTGTGAGCTATGATGTCATAGTACTGTAGTGTGAGTGACAGCATGAGATTCTGTCTCAAAAAACAAATAAAAAACCAAAGTAGTTAGAAAAAAGGATAGTAGAATTTTAAAGTCGAATAATGAAAAGGAATGCAAAAATGACAAAAAAATTTAATATAACGAAAACTAACCAAAACAAAAGATTAACAAAGCCAAGAAGCTGGTGTTTGAAATAGACTAAGAAAAAAAAGACAACCCTCTGGCACAGTTGCTTTTTAAAAAGGCACAAATAACTGGGGAGTCTTATCTGGGCATGGTGGTTCATGCCTGTATTCCCAGTAACTTGGAGGCTGAGGCAAGTGGATTGCTTGAGTTCAGGAGTTTGAGACCAGCCTGAGCAAGAGCAAGACCCCTGTCTCTACTAAAAATAGAAAAACTAGCTGGGCATGGTGGCACATGCCTGTAGTCCCAGTTACTTAGGAGGATTGCTTGAGCCCAGGAATTTGAGGTTGCTGTGAGCTAGGCTGATACCACTGCACTGTGCATAGGAGTGACAGAGCAAGACCGTCTCAATTAAAAAAAAACCCTGATATCAACATACAGATAAATTATTTGAGTTAGTTAGAGTTTACCAAGGTTGCTTGATTGAAAAAATCAGTAGGTAGGAAGGAATAGGCAAATATATTTTAGGATACAGAAAGCAATAACCATAAAATTAATAAATTAACATTTTATCAAAATTAAAAACCTCTGCTCATTGAAAGACACTATTAACAAAATGAATAGATAAGCCAGACTGGGAGAAAATATTCACCAAACTTATTTGTGTTCAGAAGATATAACCAACTCCTATATGAAAACCCTCCAATTAAAAATGGGCAGAAGGCTTCAACAGATGCTTCACAAGGAAGAAAAACAATACACTTATTGTATGTGAAAAAGTGTTCAAGATTATCTGTTGTCAGACAAATGCAAATTAAGCCACCACGAGCTGCCTCTTCCCATCTACTACGATGGCTGAATTATGGAGGTGTGTGATGGGACAGGAGTGTGGCAGCCTCTCAGCAACCTCGCCATTACACTCCTATGTATAGGCAGTCCCTGGGTTATGAACAAGGTAGGTTCTGTAGGTTTGTTCTTAGGTTTAATTTGTATGTAAGTTGGAACACTTACAATTACCTATAATAGCCTCTGTTCTTAAGTGTGAATTGTACGTAAGTTGGATGTTTGAAACTCACGGACTACCCATACTACTCAAGGTAAACACCTTCACACAGACTTGTACATGAAAGGTCACTGCAGCCTCAGTTTGAAATATCCCCAAACTGCAAACCAAAGTATGCTCAAAGTAACCAGCAAGTGAATGGACAAACCAGAGTCACACAGTGGATGCGACCCAGTGACACAGAGGAACAAACCTCCACCAGGAATGTCAAAATATCATGCTGAGCCAAAGAGCCCTGATGCAGAGAGGAAATACTCTGAGTCCAGTTAAATGAAGTTCTGGAATAGGCAAAAGTAATCTATTGTGACAGAAATCAGATCAGTGGTTGCCTGGAGCAGCAGGCTGTGGACTGGCTAGGAATGGGCACCAAAGAACTTTCTGGGGAGATGAAAATGTCCTGTATTGTGATGAAGGTGTGTAACCAGTTGTAAGTTAAGACATGTGCACAAAAGACAGTGAAAGGCTGGGCATGGTGGCTCTCACCAGTAATTTTAGCACTCAGGGAGGCTGATACAGGTGGATCACTTGAGCTCAGGAGTTGGAGACCAGCCTGACCCCAGAGACAGACCCCGTCTCTAAAAATAGCTGGGCATTGTGGAGGGTGCCTGTAGTCCCAGTTACTTGGGAGGCGGAGGCAAGAGGATCACTTGAGCCTAAGTTTGAGGTGGCTATGAGCTATGATGCCACAGCACCGTACCCAGGGGCACGGAGTGAGACTTTGTCTCAAAAGAAAAAAAAAGATAGTGAAAAAGACAATAAGGGAGCAGAGGGTGGGAGTGGTTTAGAACTCCCTGGGGCACAGTGGGTGCAAGGGGATCAGGTGCAGAGAATGTTCTACTTTTCTATCTACCAGAACCTTTTGTCGAGTTGGTGAAAGTCATCATCTTATGATTTGCTGGCAAAAAACCTCCAACAACAACAACAACAAAAACAATTCAAGACAATGCCAGGTACAAAAGCAAATATTATAAAGAACCCAGAAATAAACCCAATGAAATACACATGCGCTTTCCAGGAGAAAATGATCAAACTAGATTAAAAACATTAAAGATCAGCAGAATCATCTGGTCTCTTTCTGCGATCTTATTAAGAGCCTGACATGCTTTACTTTTGTAACTTGACACACTTTAGGTGGAAGAGGAAGGGCAAGAAGACCAGGGCTCTCTTGAAGGACAAAGTGACAGTCTGCTCTTTGATCCGTGGACCCTATAATCAAGAGCATGGGATTGGTGGGGGCACTCCTGGAGTGCTGCAAATTAGAGGGGAGAAGACACTGGAAGGGCTGGAACTGTGGCACAGACTGGCCCAACTTGGATGCTGCTTCACCCCAGATAGGAAAACCAACTCCAGCAGTTAGGGGCCTGAATATATATTAAATGAAAAATAAACTTTTAGAAGTCTTAACCTATAGATGTTTCTGACTTAAAAAAAATCTAAACACCACATCTAACAAGTTATTTTGAACTCAAGTTTTTCTAGATGTTTGGGATAATGTTTTCATATGTACCCTGTCTGGGCAGCCTGACCTTCTCTGAGCCCAAACAAACCCTCAAGAAGGCAGGTAGAGTAACACTCAAGTCTTGGCCCCATGACACGACTGGACATGCTGGGCTCCCCATGCTAGGGGCCTCCTTGAAGGTGAAGTCACCTCCTCCCTCAAGCACAATACCTGAAAGGCAACTTATTACCATCACAAGTGGACTTGTATAACCCCTGTAAAAATGAGGAAGTAGCACTGCCTTAGACAGAAAGTCTGAAAAGAATTGAGTAATGTAACCATTGGATGAGTCCATTTCTACAAAAAAATACAAAATGGAAGCTGTGTAACCACAGAGAAACTCCCTACCCCCAACTCAGGGACAGGTAGTTAGGAAGCCATGAAGAGGGCTCCTGGGTTGGAAATTGCTACTCTGTGTGGGCTCCCTGGGCATTCTGGGATTGCTGGTGTCTTGGATGTCTGTGCTCTGCAGGGCTCTGCTCTGCCTCCCATTCTGCTTGGGTGATTGTGGCTATGCCTGGGGCTCCAAGTGGGAACTTACAGGTCAACTACTCTCAAGTTTCTGTCCCAGTCCAAACTTTGCTGAGTTCTAGGCCTACACAAGTATCTGCTGGACATCTCCAGTCTCCACTGGGATCCTCAAGCGCCCCCAAAGTGGGATCTTCCCAAACCAGAGTTTCTTGTGTTGGTGCCTGGGGAACCAATTGCTTCCCCCACTCCGCCTGGCCATCCCTACCAACCACTGACAATTTCCCAGGTGCCTGGAGTGGCTCTGTCCTGTAATTGCCACCTTCTATGTGAACACTGTGAGAGCTTTCTAAATAGCCTCCATGTCCCCCACATGCCATAATGACTATCTTTAAAAAGATGTCCCAGACCTGCCACCAGCTGGGCTCAGACTGCCTGTGGGACCTCCTCACTCATCACTGCCCACATGTTGCCCAGTACAGCTACCCCAGCGGCTGACATGCTGCTCCCTGAAGCGACTCCTTTCTCTCACTGCTAGAAGCCCCTGCCCTAGTATCCTTCAAGGTCCAGCTCAGACGACTCCCTACCCTGGCTTTTCCCATTAGTCATGTCACCTCAACTCAGTATTGGCCCTGCACAGTCCAGAAAGGGCCAGTTTCCTGGGAACCAGACCCTGAAAGAAACAATGAGAAACATGGTCTTGAAGTAACATTTGCTTATTATCAAATCCCAATAGACGGTCAAGAATTCAGACTACAGGCAATATTGGGAGAAGGTGACTACTCTGCTGAGTCACAACTGCCCCACACTTCAAGCTGTTTGTTCTTGCTTTTCCCTTTGGGATTAACTAATGATAGAACCTGCTTGCCTTGTTTCAGCTCAGTCCCTGTGACTTACAGTCTGTTGAGCTCCAAGTCACCCAAGTGAGAGAAAGGACCAAGTATGGAGGGGAGCGGGGGTCAGGCTGCTCAGCTAAGGAGGGCCTGAGCTGTGCTGCCACTCCCCTCAGGGCTTTGGGTGGTCCTGCCCTCCCTACTGAGGACTCCCATGGAAGAACAAACAGGGGAAGGCAGCAGGGAACCTTCCAGCTTGCTCAAGGAAACCTAAACATGCCACATGTGGTGGGTGGGGGAATGAGAGGGCCTCTGAGCAGTGGTTGGAAGGCCCTTATCTTTCCCAACCCCCTCATCTCACTGGAGGACCACAGCTTGGAAGGATCTATCCAAGGACACATGATGACATGGCAGGAGAAGCTCGAAATGATTAAGATCTCTATGGGGCGGTGCCTGTAGCTCAAAGGAATAGGGTGCTGGCCCCATATGCCAGAGGTGGTGGGTTCAAACCCACTCCCGGCCAAAAAAAAAAAAAAACTGCAAAAAAAAAAGATCTCTAGTCACTGATGTCTGATCAGGCCAGGGCAAAGGGACATTGGCCACAACCTGCCTGTGGTCACTTGAGATTTGGCCTCAGTCTCCTGTTTTGTAAACTCAAATTACTGCAGTCCTTTGTCTTGGTGTGATGGTTTTAGGATGGAGGGCACTTTAGACCAGAAGGGGTGGGCCATCCGATTATTCCCCAAGGGTTATGGGGGTCAAGGATCTTCCCTGCCTCTGGGGCGGAGCCCTGGGCCTTGGCTGGGGTCCAGCTGGCTCCTGGCCACTGGGGTGAGAGAACCGGGCTGAAAAACCAACAAAAGGGCCTCCCTCCTACACCCTGGGGCCCATGAGTCACCAGACCTTTGGGGGAATGCCAACATCATCATGACATAGCAAGAATCTTACTGACCCAAGGGGAGAAGGCAGCCCAGAAATGTTCTGAGGAGAGAGAGGGGTTGGGGCTCCCAGGTCGTCCCTCACACAGACCTATCATCAGAATGGGTCCTGAGCAGCCATCAGACTCATGTCCCTCATGGCCCAGGTGGAGAAACTGAGGCCCAAACAGACTCCCAGTCCTATTTTCACTCCCTTTCTCCCTGTGTGAGGGGAAGAGCCACTCCCTGGCCTTGACAGAGTCTTATCAAGTGGGAGAAGATGTTGTTCCAGGGCCAAGGCTCCTTCACCTACACTGGTCTATAAGGCCAGAACTTTCTGGAATGAGACAATACTTCCACTCCCTTTCTGATGTGGCTGGGGGTTGTGAGAATGGGGGGAAGTGGCCAAATAGCAAAGGGAACAGCAAGTGGCTCAAATCCCATTTGGTAATTTCAGAAACCAGTGTCAAGACACCCCCAGGAAGGAAACTGGGCATGTGGGCGAGGGTTGGGTAAGCCAGCCGAGGAGGAGGAAGGGGCAGGGGAAGGCCACGTGGACCCTGCCTGCCCCACGCATGGGGCCTGTAGCCACTGGCCTGCTTTCAGTTTCTAGGTCACACAAGCTTGCTCCCAACTTGGGCTTTGGGCGTTTGCTCTTCCTTTTCCATGGGATGCCCTCCCAGGCCTTACCTGTGAGCCTCACTCTCTAGGCTGTCCTTGTGGGATCTGTGTGTTATGGGGATGAGGACAGAAAGGCCCATTTGTCACAGGTACCACTCTGAATTCTTGATTTGCTTACTCACCTTTGGGTACCTGGTCCCCCCACATCACACAAGTCCCACGAAGAGGGCAGGGACATGGCTGCTGTGGTCCAGAGGATTACTCTATTTCTTTGCATCAAATGAATAACTAGAGAACTTGTTTGGGGACAGTGTGGTCCACAGTGCCACCATGCCTACCTCCTATGCCAAGTGACATTGTGTGGAAGGAGGCTTGAGGGTAGGGGCTCTTCTAGGTGCTGCCTGAACATGGCCCAGCCCTGCACCAGTCTCTCCAGCAGGAAGAGGCTCTCTAGGGGACCCCTTGTCACCCTGTCCCTTGCCAGAGTCAGCACTTCCCATTTTTTATCTGGAAGCCTCTTGTTGTCACTCTCAGAGCAGAGGAGAGCAAAGGGGAAGCCTATGATTACAATGAAACACAGTTGCCCAACCCTAAGGTGGCCACAGTTGAAAGCAGCAGAAGTCATACAATCAGCTGAGAAAAGCCTGAGGACCCTTCATGTTTGTGTCGCACTGAGGTTTGGGGAAAGTAAGATACCAATTCCAAGTCACACAGCAAGTTTGGTGTCTCTCAATGAGCTGTCTAAGAGTTGAGTGCCTAAAGTCATAAGCTACCATTGTGGCCTGGGCCACTCTATTAATAGAGTGTCCTTGTGACAGTGTAGAGTGGGGACAAAGGAAGAGGGAGAAATCACCATCACTTGCTCTCCCAATCTACTTCTTGGACTAAGGACTTAATGGTCAGAGTCTTAGCTGTTAAGATTTGTGGCTGACACACGTATGGCTCCTTTAAGAGTACCAGGCTGGGCTCGGCGCCTATAGCTCAACCGGCTAAGGCGCCAGCCACGTACACCCAAGGTGGCGGGTTCGAATCCCCAGCCTGGACCCGCCAAACAACAAGGGCAGCTGCAACCAAAAAATAGCCGGGCGTTGTGGCGGGCGCCTGTGGTCCCAGCTACTTGGGAGGCGGAGGCAGGAAACTCGCTTGAGCCCAGGAGTTGGAGGTTGCTGTGAGCTATAATGCCACGGCACTCTACCCAGGGGGACAGCTTGAGGCTCCGTCTCAAAAAAAAAAAAAAAAAAAAAAAAAAAAGAGTACCAGGCTGGTGCCAGAGCCAAGACCAAACTTGTACCACTGTGTGCTCCACTGGGATACCTCCCCTGTGTCCTAGGGGTATGGGGTGTCAGGCAACAGCGGCTGTGGTGGCACTTTGCTTGCTTCCTCATTCCTCCTGGCTCTCCTCCAAGTTCTGATCAGAAACACAAAGGTGGCAGAGAACAGGTTTGGCAAAGGGTAGTGGCAAGTTGTTCTATGTGAACAAAAACTTCTGAGATCCTATGGCATTGAGGGGCCCACAATGTGCAAGGTCCTGGGCCAACCTGCATGCCTACAGGCCTACCCTGTCACAAGCTACATAGTTTTCACAGAACTCTCACACAATAAGTTAATGGCAAAGACAGACCATGGTGAGCAGATTGTTGGGTGCATCTAGGGTTAAAAGTTAAAAATTGAGACCACTTTAAATTCAAGCTGAAACCCTGGTTCCATTAGCTCCTATCCATATCTTGGTGCCACACAGCACACAGAGGCCCTGCCTCTGCTAGGACTACCCCTCCCTTTCCTGCCTCCTGTCCCATGTGCCACCATTGTGCTACACATGTCTTTGCTTCTACTCTTTGGCTTTTCCTATATCAGAGCAAATGGTAGTTTTACCAGCTGGACAACTGGGGCCAGCTGGGGTGAGGTGGAGCTTCTCAGCAGGCTTTGGGAGATACAGCAAAGAGATGGCATTCCAAGAAATGCTGCGTGTTTGTCCCCAGGGAACTTGACATAGTAGACAGAGAAGAGGCAGAGATTGGGCCTCAGATCTTGCCTTTGGAACTAACTGATGGTGTGACGTTTGTCAAGTCACAAACAGGCTTGAAAAAAATACTCAAAGAATGAATAGCATTTCTTGTTTGCCTCATGATCAGGGGCGTCCAACCTTTCCCCCCCCTATTTTGCACACAGGAAGACTAGGCATTTTCTTGGATCACACAGTAAATACACAAAGACTAATGAAAACTGATCAGCGCAAAAAAAAAAAAAAGGTTGTGCATACTTTTTGTGATATCTGACATCACAGATAAGCAAAAAAAAAAAAAAAAGTCTTCACAAAATCAGCATGTGGCATAGGCCGCAGGTTGGACAGCCCTGAACTAGATGGTTCTTGATCTGGTAGCTCCAGGACTCAGCTCTACATTCAGTGGTCAGATAGGAGGTGGGTTGATAATAATACATGGGCAGAAGCCATAGGAGGAGCTCAACCTATTGGAGCCTGTGCCAAGCATGGCTGGAACCATTAGCTGGGAGAGCTGAGGCATGGAGTGGGAAGTGCCTTTCACAATGTCACACTTAAAGTCTGGCTTTTAAGATTTGGGGCCTGGGGAAGACTCACCGATGCACCCATAATGATGAAAATGTGTGTATCCGACTGGTGGAAGTCATCACCCTGATATAGCTCTTCCCGCAGAATCCCACACACCTGGGTCCGGCTCAGGGCTACTTGTTGCGCCATGATACTCTCTGGTGGAAGAAAGGCTCATTGACAAAGTAGGAACAGGACAAAGTGGGAGAATGGAAGAGCATTGATAAGTTAGCCCCTTTCACCCAAGTGACGTCTGATCACCAAAACCACCCAATATGAAAGGTGGGGTTGGGGTCGGGGGCTTGGGCTTGGGCTTGGGGCCATGAGTGGAAAACAGAAGATATGGTGCGTTAGAAACTGCTGGCTCTAGGCCCCAGCCATACTCTCCCAGGATGCTTTCATTCAGTGCGTACTTTACAAAATTTCCGAACGCTTTGGTGGATTCCAGCTAGAACACTGATTCTGGGCAACAGAGTTAAACCCTACTGGGGCATCACAGTATATGCCCAAGACCGTAGTCGGAACTCTACAAACACTTGGAGCACGTTAGGTTGTGCAGATGATGGAGTTCAGCTCCGCTTCCCCCCCTCCACCCCGCGCAAGCTGCGTGATCCTGGAAAGTGCACTCCCCTCTCTGGTGTCACCATACTCAAGGGCCCCATGGGATAGGTACGGAGTATAAAGGGAACGGTTAAGACCCTCTGTATCCTCCTTGGTTCCCGAGCACAGCAGGGAGCGTGCATCAAAGGGCCGCACGTTACAGAGGTTGGCAGCACGCCCCTCCGCCGGTGTGGCGCCTGCTTGCTTGGTTACCTGCACCTCGTCGCCACCGCCCTCCGCGCTCGGCCAGGCAGCTTCCGACGGCTCTGCCCCCACTCGCCCATTTAAGCAGCGGGGGCGGAAGCCTTAGCTGAGCTGACGGGTCTCAGGCGAGGAGCGCGGGGTGGAGCCAGGGCAGGTGCGTGCGCATCCCGAGCCAGTCCCACTCGCGAGCCCTCGAGCTCTGACCGTCCAGTACCGTCCCGTCCCGCCCCGTCCCTCAGGCACCTGCGCTGGCTGCCGGTCTGCAGACCGCCTGCCGTCCCGACTGCCGCTCCTCCGCATTCACAATACCTTGTGGGCACGGCTGGAACTCAGCACCGTTCACCCGTGTCCCCATCACCGGCCCAGCCCCACCCCTACGCTGGGGTTTTCTAGCTGTTCCGAAGGCCCTGCGCCCTCGCGGAGGCGCCACTTCCGCCGGGAGGGAGGCCCACGCCTCCTGAGGCCTTGCCTTTGAAGTCTGGGAGGGGCCTTCAGCAGTCCCGCCCCCCAGGTTTCAGTCAGGGCTTTCAGGTCAAACCCTTGCTGCTGGGCAGCCTCTTTTGACTCCGCCCCTGGAAGGGGCGGGATGCCCAAGCGCCCAGAGGCTGGATGCCGCTGTATGTGCCACAGGCATTGTAGGTCCTGACGCCTTGAAAAGTAGCGGGTGGTGCTTGTCACTTGGGGGCGTCCTGCGAGCCGGCCAAGGTTGGAAGGCTCAGACTGCATTGGAGCAAGATGTGGCCTTGAGGCGGCTTCACACCTCTCGCCTGCCTCCTGCGTTCCGGGGGGCGGGGTCGCTGGTTTATACTTCCGGATCCCACGACTACGACACCGGAAGCCGGTAGCGGGGCTTTCGTCAAGAGAGATAGGAAGGTGGGCCACTGAAGTAGGAGTTTCTCAGAGCGCTGGGCCCCTAGGAGTGCTAGCAACCCGCCGCTGCCACCCTCCTCACGTCTGGCCGACTCTACTGACAGGTGTGGTGCTTTTCCCGGAAGACAGGGTTCTGTCGGCGGGCGTTCCACCTTCTCCAGGACTCCCCTGGACGTTCAGGCTCCCTCCTGTTGGGCCCCGACCCATTCCCGCCGCGTTTGTCTGGAGATATCCAAGTAGAAATGTTTGGTTTGAGATGTGAGTCTGAAGTTTATAAAGGAGGTCCAATTAAGTATTAAGATTCGGGTTAAAGCCATGAGATTGGATAAAATTACTATAGAAGTGAGTGTGGTTACAGAAGAGGTCCCAGTACAGAGCCCTGGGGCACCCAGCTTGAGAGGGTGGTAGCCCAGTGAAAGTGCCTGAGCAGGAGCAGCCAGTGACCTAGGAGAGAAACCAGGGAAGTGGGCTGGCTGTTCTGGAAGCCAATGGAAGAAAGTATATTGAGGAGGAGGGAGAGGTCAGCTGTGTCATCTGTTGCTGATAGGTCTGTAGGGTATTCAGCGGTATTAATAGTCAAAGGGACCGAAAGGGACCGACTTTATTCTGCCTTAAATTCACTCTCCCTCACCTCAGGCGTTCTCTCAGGGTTTGACATCCTTCTAGTAGTCTTGGGTTGTGTTTAAAAGGGCTCCATGCTGTTCCACATGGTCTACTTCTAGTTCACAAGAGGACATTAGAAGCTCAGCCTATCTACTTGCTCCACTGTCTCAGGCTGACAGCTCAGCTCTTGCTTTTAGATTTCTCAGTGCATGTCATCAGACACCAGATGTCTCCTCTGCCCATGTCCCTAGCTCCAGGAAACCAAAATCAGGATCTCATTGGCTCCTCAAATCCCCTCTTACTAGGTATATGAGTTTCTGAGGGCTGCGTAATAAATGACCACAAGCTTGGTGGCTTAAAACAGCAGGAATTTAATCTCTTTCAGTTCTGGAGACCAGAAGTTCAAAATGAAAGTCTCAGCAAGCCACACATCCACAGGCTCTAGGAGAGGACCCTTCCTTGGTATTTCAGCTTCTGTGGCTAAAGTTATTCTTGGGCCTGTGGCCACATCACTCCAGTCTCTCCTCTGTCTCCACATGGCCTCTTGTCCCGTGTGTCTTCCTTTGTCTCCCTCTATCTTATTCTGTGTCTCAGAAGGACACCTGTCACTGGGTTAGGGTCTACGGGGTAATCCAGGATAAGGTCTCTTTTTTTCCAAATAAAGTCATAATTTTATGTTTTGGGGGATAGGACATAGATGTATCTTTTGAGGGGGGCTACCATTCAGCATACTGTATTAGCTGAGGGGCCAGCCCCCTCTACTTCACTGGCTTGGAGGTGTTTAGGGGTAGGATTCCCAGCACACTGACAGCTACCTCCACAGATAATTCTCTCTCCTAATTTCCCATGTCTGATGAACCTCTTAACTTTCATTACAGCCTGGAGATAGGTTCTAGGCAGAGAGTTTAAAATCATTGCTGAACCATGGCCCCAAAACTCCTGCACAGAGTCAAATTCTTGTCCTGCTGGGTAAGAGAGTTCATGAGGACCTTGTGCAATGCTTTTGTTGCTTTTTTCTTCCAGACTCTGACTTCTTGGATGAACAGGCTCCTCTGGAAGAATCAGCTGTGTGACATGGTGCAGCCCAGTTGTGGCCTGGCAGGGGAGCAGGACATGCTGGGTGAAGAGTCTTCTCTAGGGAAGCCAGCCATGCTGCATCTTCCTTCAGAGCAGGGCACTCCTGAGACCCTCCAGCGCTGTGTGGAGGAGAATCAAGAGCTCCGAGGTGAGGAAGACAGTGGGCAGGTGGAGTCAAAGGGTAGGAGACCTAGCATTGCTGAGGGAAAGGCTTATACTCACTTGCTCTTCTGACTTGCTGGGTGTGGGTGGGGACTCATCTGAGAGCTGGCAAGTATTTCGAACTTAGCTACTTTTCCTCTTGGTGGTTTCAGGTGAGGTTTCCTGGAAGTAGATGCTGAGGTGCAGGTCAGAGAGCAGGAAGTTTATTTAAAGTGCACTTAGGACTAGTATTGGGAAGGGGAAGAAAGGAGCAGGGCTGGGAAAAGGGCAGAGTGGGCTTTAGGGCAGGCTCAAAGATAGCCTTAGCTGACCTTGGGGGAGCTCTGGAGCTGGAATGAACAACATGTCTGGGCCTTTATATCCCTTGCTGGTCAGTAGCTTTTGGGTGGGCAGTGTGTGCTGTAGCCAGAGGAGGCCATTGGCACTATCCCACTCCTCTATCTCCTTTCTTGTACAGTGGTCTGGAAAGGTACGTGGGCCTTTGTGTCAATGAATCATATGCTGTATAAGCTTCAGAGACAGTGATGGCCAGCACCCTGCAGGGACCAAATCCATGCCTTTTCTTTGTCAAGATGAATCATCTTTCTTTCCAGGGCAGAAGGGGCCCAGTGCAGTCCACTTGCCACTGAGGGGCTGCTTGGTGTTGAGGGCTAGGCTACATTGGAGGGAGAGAACCAAGAGAAACTACCTGCTGTAGGGCAGGGGCCTCTGCCTTCAGCACTGTTGATACCTGAAGCTGGATGATTCTTTGTAGTGGTGATGTCCTGCATATTGCAGGTAGTAAGCAGCATCCCTGGCCTCTACTCACTGGATGCCAGCTGTGCTCCTCCTGTTGTGACAACTAACAATGCCCACAGACATTGCCACTTGTCCCCAGGTGAGATCTGCTGTATTGGGGCCTTCAGAACATTAGTGCATATAAAACTGGCAGCCAGGTTGGGGGCCTCTGCTCAACCCCAGGACGGTACTCCATTGAGAGAGACTTGGGAGTGAGAGTGCTGCATGCCAGCTGCACACAGAACATGGCACAGCACATGGCATTCCTGGTTCCCTTCCATGCTGTGAGTTCAGTGTAGTAGCTTCCCTTGGGTTCCAGAAGCATGGGGAGGCCTTGAGGCTCTATTGCCTCCACGCTGCCAGATCTCAGCCTGGTAGATGGCAAGTGAGACTTGGTGGCTTCACAGGTCAGGCCCTGGACCAAACCTCCAGGGGCCCTGAAGATGTCTTCCTCCCAAGATGATCACAATTGTGTTGGTGGAGGAGGCTGTGAGAGCCAGGGAGGAGGAGGGACATAGTCTTTGTTTGAAATATTTGGGGAGAAACTTCATACAAGAAGTTCACGTACCTAGTGCATGATTCAATTTATGTGATATGTTCAGAAGAGAACAGTGCCAATCCCCAGAGCCAGAGAGCAGATGAGTAGGCACCAGGGAGGGGGCAGGGGAAAGGGAGAATGATTGCTAATGGATGTGCAATTTCCTTTTTGGCTATTGGAAATGTTCTGGAATTAGGCTGTGCTTATGGTTACCTTGTGAATACAGTAAAAACCACTGAAATACTAGTGTGTACTTCAGTTGAAATGATGAATTTGATTTTATAAAAAACAGTTAAAAAAAAAAGGTAGAGGCTGGGTGTAGTAGTTTATGCCTGTAATCCTAGTACTCTGGAGGATCATTTGAGCTCAGGAGTTCCAGATCAGCATGAACAAGAGTGAGACCCTGTCTCTACTAAAAATAGAAAAAACTAGCTGGGCGCTGTGGTGGGCATCTGTAGTCCCAGCTACTTGGGAGGCTGAGGCAGGAGAATCACTTGAGCCCAAGAGTTTTAGGTTGCTGTGAGCTATGATGCTACAGCACTCTAGCCTGGGAAACAGAGTGAGTCTGTCTCAAAAAAATAAAAGTTGCATGTGAGCTGAGCTTTGAGTGGAGTGGGCAGGATTCTGATGGGTCCCGAGGGAGGTGGAGTGAGGTTGGGTGGATAATGTGCTTGTCAGCAGATAGGGTTAGGGTTAGCTGGTCAAGAGTTTTGACTGCCTGCCCCATTTTATATAGCTCTGTACTTTGCTAGAACCTTTATATGTCACTGATCGGTTTTATTACCTCAGATGGCTCCTTCACTACTTGGGGTGTCCACAGGGTATGAGACTCTCCTTTCCTCTGGCCTTTGCTGACTACAGGCATATCAGGACACCTACGTCTTGAGGAGAGCAGAGATGTGATCCTAGGAGGAACTCACTGCTGCAGGGCAGGCATATCTGAGCCAACCAGAATACAAATGAATTCCAGAGTTGCTTACAAAGAAAGTGGCATTTGATACACTTAAAAAAATATTAAATAGTTAATATGTATGAGGATACATACCATTAGGTTATGTAAATTGCCCCCCCCCCGCCTTTTTTTTTATGAGACAGAGTGTCTGCCTGCCTAATTCTTCAATTTTTAGAGACTAGGTCTTGCCTTTGCTCAGGCTGGTCTTGGACCCCTGAGCTCAAGGAATCCTCCTGCTTCAGCCTCCCAGAGTGCTAGGATTACACACATGAGTCTCCATGCCTGGCTCATAAATTGCTTTTGTAAGGTTAAAGTCCACATTGTAGTTGTGTCCTTCACCCAGGAAGTGTGCTATATACCTGTGCATTGTATCCCTTGGGTGGGAACTTACCCATTCACTCTCCCCCTCCCCCCATTTGAATTTAATTGAGTTTTTATCTCATGTGAACATGTATTTGTTATCCTCTAGTTCAAATTGGACTGAGTATAGGGGATGCTTATTTTTCCATTCTTTTGATACTTTGCTTAGGAGCATATTCTCCAAAGTCATCTATATTGTTATAGAAGATGTAGAAACACCTTTTTTTTTTGGGTGGTGCCTGTGGCTCAGTGAGTAGGGCGCCGGCCCCATATACTGAGGGTGGCAGGTTCAAACCTGGTCCCGGCCAAACCGCAACAAAAAATAGCTGGGCGTTGTGGTGGGCACCTGTAGTCCCAGCTACTCAGGAGGCTGAGGCAAGAGAATCACCTAAGCCCAGGAGTTGGAGGTTACTGTGAGCTCTGTGACACCACAGCACTCTACAGGGGGCGATAAAGTGAAACTGTCTCTACAGCAACAACAACAACAAAAAGCCTTTTTTTTCCCTTTTTGGGTAGATTCCTAGTATTGGGTTTTCAGGATCAAATGGAAGGTCTACATTTAGTTCTTTGATGACTCTCCATGTAGGCTAACATTGATTGCAGTTCCACCAACAGTGGATGAGTGTTCCCTTTTCTCTACCTTGATACATGCCTTCAAGTGAGGCTGCTGTGTTTGGTATTTCCTTGGAGAAATTTAAGGGCATATCGTTAGTATAATTGATTTTGGAATTGTATAAAGCAGGGGTGTCTGCATACTGATTTTATGAGAATTTTTTTGCTTATCTGTGGTGTTGGGTATCATGAAATGTGTGCATAGACTTTTTTTTTTTTTTGCTAATCATCTTTCATTACTCTGTGGCTCAAGACAGTGCTTATTGCAATGCATGGTAGAGGGAAAAGAAGGTTGGATATCTCTGGTTTAAAACATAAAAGGAGGGCTGGGTGCAGTGGCTCTCACCTATAATCCTAGCACTTTGGGAGGCTGAGGTGGGTGGATTGCTTGAGCCCAGGAGTGTGAGACCCTGTCTCTAAAAAACAGCCAGGCATCATGCCAGGTGCCTGAGGATTGCTTGAGCCCAAGAGTTTGAGGTTGCTGTGAGCTATGACACCATAGCACTCTACTGAGAGCAACAAAGTGAGACACTGTCTCAAAAAAAAAAAAAGCATAAAAGGGAATGTTTAGAAGCCAAATAGTGCTATTGCCTCCTCCCCACCATCTTCTGGTCTTTGGCCTCCTGAGCCTCAGGCTCACCTTCCCTTTGTGGTCTCCTCTTCCACCAGATGCCATCCGGCAGAGCAACCAGATGCTGCGAGAACGCTGTGAGGAACTGCTGCATTTCCAAGTCAGCCAGAGGGAGGAAAAGGCTTTCCTTACGCACAAATTCCAGGAGGCCAGGAAACTGGTAGAGAGACTCAGCCTGGAGAAGCTTGACCTGAAGCGGCAGAGGGAGCAGGCTCTGCAGGAGGTGGAGCACCTAAAGAGATGCCAGCAGGTAATCCGAGCTGAGGGCTGCAGCACCATCTCTGCCATCAGCTGCCTACATTCTGAACACTGACAGGATCATTAGTGTTGTAGAAGGGAACCTGTGGTTAGGGATCCTCAAGAGCTGATGTGCTGGAAGGACTCAACACTCAGAAAAGCTGTCATACTCACAGTCATGGTTTGCTCCAGTGAAAGGATGGGTTAAAATCAGCAGAGGTACAAGGACCAGGGAGGCCAGGCGACAGCTTCCGGTGTCTCTCCTGGGGATGTTGAATGGATGGTGCAGAATTCTAGCAGCCATGTGTGAGCAGCAGTGGGTGACAGCAAGTGGACTAGGGAGGCTCCCCTGGGCCTTGGTGTCCAGGGTTTTACTGGGAGTGGGTCATGGAGCCCCCTATGGCACTGACCAGGTTACACCAGCTCCAGCCACCCAGGCAGGGGTCCTGTTGATGGCATGTGGCCCAGGCTTCCCCCATAAATCCTGTCATTAGTGTAGACTGCCTGGTGGGGTTGTAGGCCCTGTTGAACCATGATGCTCTTATTGGGGGATTTGCCAGGAGTGGGGCAAGGGCCAGACTTGCCTTTGGAAGGTACAGGATGTAGACCCTAGGCTTGTGGGTTGGCTGTGCATTGTACAAAACATCCACAGGTTACTGTATGCTAAACGACAGTGTCTCACAGCCTTTCTGTATGAGCTTAGCTGATCTCAGGATCTCAGTAACAGTAGTCAGGAAGCAGGAATGCTGCCTGCAAGGGGCACAGTGGGGATAAGGCCTTCGCTTTGTCATTGGGGGAAGTATATGAGTTTTGTAGTGCCTTTGTGATAAGGTACCACAAACTGGGGGGCTTAAATTAGGGGAAGATCTGAGCTCCTACTGACGTGTGCAGAAGGGACTTGGGTGTTTTACAGGGAGTTTGAGAAGGTTAGGGGGTGAGTGGGGGCTCAAGTGAAAAATGACAGAGAGGGTCAGTGTCCATGTTGGGAAGCCAGCCATTTATAGAAGTTAGGATTCTGCCCTACATGGTGACTGGCAGATGGGGGCCTACCCTTCTCAGTGACTCTCAGTTCCTTGAGAAAGACACTACTGGGTTGTAGGTGATACATAGACACCTCAAAGGTACAGGAGAGGCATTCACAGCCGGGAGCCCTTTTTGTTTTTTATTTTTTTGAGATAGAGTCTTACTTGTTCACCTTGGGTAGAGTGCTGTGGTGTCTTAGCTCACAGCCACTTCAAACTCTTGGGTTCAAGTGATCCTCTTATCTCAGCCTCCCAAGTAGCTGGGACTATAGTCACCCGTCACAACTCCTGGCTATTTTTTTAGAGATGGGGTCTTGCTCTGGTTCAGGCTGGTCTCAAACCTGTGAGCTCAGGCAATCCACTCTACCCACCTCGGCCTACCAAGTGTTGGGATTACAGGTGTGAGCCACTGTGCCCAGCCTGGGAACCCTTTTTAGTAAATGTTGTAAGGGTCCAATGTCAGGTGTTGGCTGGAAAAAGCAGTACATTCTTTTTATTGCCTCTCATGTTTCTAGACAGGAACTCAAAAGGGGGGTTGAGGCATTCTAGGGATTCTAGAAGCCTTATTAAAATTCAGTCAAGTGTTTCAGTGCAGGGGTTTGAATGTTATGTTTATGCTGAGTGTTTTTGCAGTTCTCAGCATTTAACAATATCTGGTACTCACTGCTGCTTTAAAAACTCTGACCTGCTAATGGCCCCGGATCTGTGGACTTGAGCATATGTGGTCTTTTCTGTGCCTGTGTCTCGTCTCCTTCTGTACTCAGTCTCAAGAGACTGAGAAAGAGCCCCTGTTGGGGTTATATGACCAAGCCACCAGGGGCAGCCCTCACAGCCTGGTTGCTGGGGCAGTGGCCAAGCTGTTGGCAGCTTCCAGAGACTCAGGGTGTGTGTGTGTGCTCCTGTGGCCTATTGTAGTTTCTTGTTGCCCCATCTTCAGGGATGAGGGGGGCCGGGTGGCATGGGCTCTCAGGATTCAACCTTGTCTTACTGCCTCAGCTGCCTGCAGGGTTTGGGTAGCTTTTGGAGGTGAGGTAGGGAGGTTGGGGGAGGGGACTTTGCATCTTAGCCAGTAGTGGAAGTTCAAAGTGGGGCCTTAGGGAGGGTCAGGTGGCTACTGGGTTCACAAGGCCCTAGGGTGCCTGACTTTGGGGGTGCCAAGGGCAGGTGAGAAGCCCTCAGGGTGAACATACCTCAGGCTGCCCTGAGCTTGCTTGGGGGTGTCAGGAGCAGGTGTGCTGGAGAAAGTGGTGCTGACAGGAATGGCTTTATCTTCTACAGCAGATGGCTGAGGACAAGGCCTCTGTGAAAGCCCAGGTGACATCCTTGCTAGGGGAACTCCAGGAGAGCCAGAGTCGCCTGGAAGCTGCTACTAAGGAGCGGCAGGCTTTGGAGGGCAGGTGAGTGGTGAGGAAAAGCCTGCCGCAGAGGCTACTTCCAGGGATTGAAGGATGAGGTGAGTTTAAGGGCCTCCAGGGAATTCCTCTGTGAATGCTGTACAAACACCCTACAGATGTTGGTGCAATGTTGGGCAGGATCTCAGCTGGGCATTCAGGACCTGAGTCTCCACCTGCATTTCTGGGCTCTGACTCTTCATTGGAGTTTGGATTATTCTTTAGGAGGCATTGCAGGAGACCCAGAACCATATCCACAGTGTGTGGTTGTTGGAAGGACTCTTAGGACAGCACACAGTCACCTCACAGTTGAGGCTAATCACAGGGAAAAGGCACGTGGCATTGTCTGCCAGGACGGGGGCTATGGGTGGAATTTGGTGTTTCTGCCTAGGGATACCCACTAGAGACTGGGCTCCCTGGATTTTCATCAGGGTCCAGTCATGTTGGCACCCTCTCCAAGGCATGTACCAAAATTCTTAGCTCCTAGTAGGAAAGTAGGTGCTTGGCATAAACCACATTGTACAAATAGTCTAGGTGCTGGATGCACCCTTCTCAGTAGGGAAAATGTCACAGCATTGGAGGGTACTTGGGCAGACAAGGGCTAACCTTATGAATCAGCAGCCTCAGGCCTGCTAGTCACTCTTTTGCAAAAGGGTGTTAGCTCTTTTTTCTTTTTTGCAGTTTTTGGCCCGGGCTGGGTTTGAACCCACGACCGCTGGCATATGGAGCTGGCACCCTACTCCTTTGAGCCACAGGCGCTGCCCAGCTCTTTTATTTATTATTATTTTTTTTTGAGACAAAGTCTCAAACTGTCACCCTGGGTAGAGTGCCATGGTGTTGTCATAGCTCACAGCAACCTCCAACTCCTGGGCTCAAGTGATTCTCTTGCCTCAGTTTTTTCTATGTTTAGTGGAGATGTGGTCTTCCTCTTGTTTAGGCTCGTCTTGAACTTGTGAGCTCAAGCAATTCACCCTCCTCAACCTTATAGAGTGCTAGGATTACAGGTGTGAGCCACTGTGCCCAGCCTGGGGTTGTTGGTTTTATAAGTGGGATCATTGAGTCCAAGAGCTGGAAGGTTTCTGTGGTTCTCATACTGCCTAGCTGCTGGCCTCCAGACAGCTGGGTCAACTAACAGAGGTGCCCCCAGCGATTCCAGCATGGTGTCCATGAGGTCAGGGTTCCCTTGAGGTGACAGAAGGGAGAGGAGCTTGACTTGGGCCTTGATGGGCAGAGAATGTCTGGGTGGGTGGAGTTGGGGCGCAGCATGAGAGAAGGCATAGAGGGGAGAAGGTGACCAGCCAGACTGAGTTGGGGTGACTGGAGAAGGGCCTGTCTGCCTGTGGCTGGAGGCCTCGCTTGGTCCACACAGAAGCACCCACTATCGCCCCCACAGTGGGGGCTGTGGAAGGCCTTGTTGGGGCAGTGGGATGATGCTAGAGCTGGTAGAGATTAAAAGAATTCTGGGATGCTGGCTTCAAGTGCCATCTGCACTTGGGTGCCAGCTAGGCTCTTGCATTGAAGCAAACATGTCTCAAGTGGAGCTCCTTACCAGTTGTCCCCACCTTGCCTGCTGCAGTTGTCCCTGTGTCTGGTGACAGTGCCTCTACCCTGACACCTGGAGTCAGTTTGTAGTCAATAGGATTTTTAGAACCTCCCCTGCTGTAGCCCCCCCTCCTTCCCCTGCTTTATGCCCTCAGCCTGTTCTTGTGTCCACCTTCTAGGGCCCGGGCAGCCAGCGAGCAGGCCAGGCAGCTGGAGAGTGAGCGTGAGGCACTGCAGCAGCAGCACAGTGTGCAGGTGGACCAGCTGCGCATGCAGAGCCAGAGTGTGGAGGCTGCCCTGCGCATGGAGCGCCAGGCTGCCTCAGAGGAGAAGTGAGTCTTCTGTGGAGGGTCACGGGGTGGCGGGGTGGGGCAGATGCCAGGTTACCTGTAGCTTTTTTTCTGCCTTCTGGGCAGTCCTTTTAGGGATTGGCTATGGGTGAGGGCCAGTTCGGTCCGTTAGCCTTGCTAATGATAGAGTCGACCATTATCACACCCAAGCAATTCATCTTTGCTATAGTAATGTCTGTTATCTAGTTCACATTTGTCAGTGTGTGTCCCACACATGTCCTTACAAACCCTTCTACCAGCGTCTGATCCAGGATCTCAAGTTCCTTTCCTTGGCATACCTTTTGAACCTCCCTTATTCTAGAAGAATCCCCCTGCCTTTTTATTTCATGAAGTTGATATTCCAATTGTGGCAGTACTCGCAGTCAGCAAAGCCTGAGTTGGCAGCCTAAGGAGTCTACGTGTGGCCATGGGAGGAAGAGGGTAGAACTGGGACTGGCCTGGGAGAACATGCTTTCTTTAGTGAAAGGTCCTTTTTCTCAGGCGGAAGCTGGCCCAGTTGCAGGTGGCCTATCACCAGCTCTTCCAAGAGTATGACAACCATATCAAGAGCAGTATGGTGAGCAGCGAGCGAAAGCGAGTGAGTATGGCTGGCTTGGAACTGTCTAGGGCTGGTCTTGTCTCTTCCTCTTCTTGTACTCCCTGGTGATGAAGAAGACTACGAGCTCCAAGACTTGACAGAATTGGCTTTGGGAGGGATACTTGACTTGTCCTAGACCTTTATCGTGCCTGTAACTGTGATAGTTCAGGGGAGCCCATGGGGAGGCAGGGACCCTTGGGATGCTCTCAGGCACATCAGCAGACTGTTCACATGGTGGGCTAAGCCAGGGCCTTGGGATGCTCTTTCTGTAGGGCTGGGGATGTGCTTGTCTCCATGGACATCCTCTCTTGCCAGCCATAACCATCTCAGCTTCTGAGCCCATCTCTGGTTTATCCTCATCAGACCTAAACTGGGTATGATTTCTAGTGATCACATTTTTAAGAAGGACATTGTGGACCATGAATGTACCTAGAGATTTGTAAGGACAAGCCTGAAACCAGGTCACATGAGGAAGAGTTGGTTATAAAACTGTATAAAACTGACCATTTACTCTGGATGGAAGTGTTGGGGGTGCGTGTGTGGCGGGGGGAGGTGTCTGTGTGAGATGAACAGACCTGTGACCACATGGCAGGGTAGAAGGAACACTGTGTCTACACTTAGCTGTACACATGCTGGGCAGTGGAGGGTGAGCACATGGAACTGGCTAACCGTGGGCGGCTACAGGAGTGAGTGTGGCCCCTGTCGCTTCATCTGGGGTTCTGTGGAAGGAATGTTTCCCTGAGTAGGAGATTGTGCCAGATGACCTTGGAGGTCCCTTTAGTTCTTTTTTTTTTTTTTTTGTGATAGAGTCTCACTGTGTCACCCTTGTAGAGTGCTGTGGTGTCACAGCTCACAGCAACCTCAAACTCTTGGGTTTAAATGATTCTCTTGCCTCAGCCTCCAAGTAGCTGGGAGTATAGGTGCCTGCCACAGTGCCTGGCTATTTTTAGAGACAAGGTCTCGCTCTGGCTCAGGCTGGTCTTGAACTGTGAGCTCAGGGCAATCCACCCACCTCAGCCTCCCAGAGTGCTAGGATTATAGGCGTGAGCCACTGTGCCTGGCCCTTTTCAGTTCTAAGATTCTGTGTCCTGAGAAAAACGTTAGCATTTCTTCTGCTTTCTGGACCATCAGAGGATGCAGCCTTTCCCCTGCACACGCTGGGACCCTGTGATGGGCTTTCAAACCATGGAGCTGGCTCTGCTCTAGCTCACCTCAGCCAGGGCTATTCTTTTGTCTTCAGTTGTTCACACCTGGAGCAGCAGTGTGCCCGGGAGGTGCGTTGGCCCTGCCTTGGGCTGACAAGGCTCTGTCAGCTCCCTCTTGCCTGTCTTTAGGGAATGCAGCTGGATGATCTCAAGCAGCAGCTCCAGCAGGCTGAGGAGGCTCTGGTGGCCAAACAGGAAGTGATTGACAAACTGAAGGAAGAGGCTGAGCAGCACAAGATTGTGATGGAGACTGTTCCAGTCCTGAAAGCCCAGGTGAGAGGCTGCCTCTGTGGCCCACTCTGGCACTGGGAGCTGGTATATCTCCTCTTTTGGCATCAGTTTTTGTTGGCCTTTTATAAACTTTTCGAGCCTCTTGACCTCTCAGTGCACTTGAGTCACTTGCTGACATGTCTGTTTCCTCCATGCTGCTCTGGGCTCCACTTTGTTTGCCCAATGCCCAGCAGAGAGTATCCCTCATCCCCTGATCTCTTGTGTTTGCCAGGCGGATATCTACAAGGCAGACTTCCAGGCTGAAAGGCAGGCCCGGGAGAAGCTGGCTGAGAAGAAGGAGCTTCTGCAGGAACAGCTGGAGCAGCTACAGCGGGAGTACAGCAAGCTGAAGGCCAGCTGTCAGGAGTCGGCCAGGTGGGCCTCTGCAGTGGGCCTCACAGGGATTGGGCATGACACTGGGGGTTCACTGCTGGTCACCACAGGAGACCGATGGCTCCTGGCTTGGCAGGTTAGGGCTGCCACTGTTCCTCTCCTCTAGCCCTGTCCTAATAGCTTTTCTCATAGTAGTGCAGCTAGGAGCTTTACCAAAATGCACATATTGATTGGATGGTTTCTGTTTTCAAAGGATTGAGGACATGAGGAAGCGGCACATAGAGGTCTCCCAGGCTCCGTTACCCCCTGTGCAGGGTGAGCAAGTGGGTGCAGGGGAGGCAGTTGGGAGGTCTCCCCAGAGCCTTGAGGACAAGGACCGATATCGGTCATCCCCCCACCCCTACCCCTGTCAGAGCCCCCTGCCCTGAGGCAGTAGTGGCGGCTCCTGGCCTCACATGGGTCTTGACCCTGTAGTTGAATAGGACATTTCTGTTAAGTCTCTCCCCTCTCCATCCTCCTCTTCCCTCTGATTTGTGCCGGGGGTGTGCATGAAGCCCGTTCAGCTGGTGCTTTCTGTTCTCTTTTCCCAGCCCACCCATCTTTTCACATGGCCCTGCCCATCCAGAGGAGAAGCCCCCCTGAGGAGCCACCTGACTTCTGCTGTCCCAAGTGCCAGTATCAGGCTCCTGATATGGATACCCTGCAGATACATGTCATGGAGTGCATTGAGTAGGGCCAGCGAACACAAGGCCATCTGCAGATGACACACCCAATACCATGCAGTGTCTGCTTTCCTTTTCCACCTGGGATTAAGGACTAGGTGACAGAGCAGACTGCTGCTCCATGCCCTGGGAGCTGGCTGCAGGGCCTTGTGCTTCAGCCCTACTGGCCTCAGGAGCCACATCTCTTAGGTTAGGCCTGGTGCTCTGCTCTTTCTGTTCCATTCTGTTCGCTTAAACCACATGCCTCTGGGGCTGGTCCCTTCCTCTTCTTCCAGTCCACAGCCAGGATGTCAAGAAGTGAGGCTGGGGGCTCTCAGGGAGAGCTGTGCCTCCAAGCAGAGATGGGCAGTAGCTTTTCCTCCAACCAGCTGTGATTCACCCTTCCCTGTGCTCAAGGCCTGCTGCACCTTTGCTGTGCACACCACTGTACTCCTTTTGGGCTGCATGCTGTTCCGTTTTGTGGTCAGACCATGGCATATTTAACTGGTCCCACTTGACGGACATTTGGATTGTTTTCCAATCTTTCGCTATCATAAACAATGGTGCAGTGAAAATCCCTGTGTATCACTTGTGTGTATTTTGGGGATAGATTTAACAAGGGGGACTGTGGAACATGTATGACGCTGGGGTGGATGATACTTGGAGCTTGCTTTCTTGCCCCTGCCCCTTGGTCCCCATAGCCTTGCCAAGGAGGGAGTGGGCAGACCTTCAGATGTTTGCCATCTACTGGGCTTGTAGTTTCACTATTAGAAGTAAGCATAAACGTCTTTTCAGAGGTTTAAGGGCCCTTTTCAGTTGTGCTGTGAGAGGGCTGTCTGTATCTTTCACTCATTGTTCTGCTGTATCTGCATGTCCTCAGTTTTTAGTGGTTCTTTGTTCATTAGCAGGATTAGCTTTGTGTGTCATAGGCTTCTCCCACTTTGATTTTGCTATTATTATTTCTTGGCCTTGAGTTTTTATCTTTATGTAGTCACATTTATTCATTTTTTTCCCTGGGAGCTACTTGGCAGTGAATGGCACTCTTCACTTGTTTTGCAAGGTTCTGGACATTTCCCACGATGTTAAAGCCATTGGGCATTAACCCTATAATTGCAGCAAAGGACAGGACGTAGAACTTTGACAGAAAGTGCAGTACACACATGACTCTTCTTTTGCCTGGCTCATCCTTCCTGCCATCCTCGAAGCTCCCCTGGTTGGAAGCTCCCCTGGTTGGAATGGGATGTTGTGAATCCAGTGCTGGGCATTGTCACAGGGTTTACTGCTGTGTGAATGTGAGAGGGCTAACTAGAATTACGATGTAAGATCTACAACTAAGCCTGGCTGTGGGGTTTCTCAGCATCTGCAGAGGTGGGAGTGACTTTCCCATTTCCTAAAGCTGGGTGTCTGTCACACTTGACTTTTGGGAGTCAAGGGAACTGTTAAGGGAACAGGCTGGCTCTGCTTACAGGTGCTGCATTTAAATCTAAATCCTGCAAGTTTTCTATAAGAGCACTTTGAATGCTTTTGGAGGGAGAGTGTATGGTTGAACAAAACACCACAAACTTGATGGCTTAAAACAATAGAAACTTATTCTTCTGCAGTTTTGGAAACCAGTAGTTGTCATGATGCTGTCAGCAAGGTTGGTTTCTTCTGGAGGGTCTAAGAATCAGATCCAGGCCTACCTGCTGGCATCTCGTGGTTGCTTGTAATCCTGTAGACCTGGCAGTCTAGTCTCTGCCTCTGTGAGCACATGAGCTCTTTTGCTCCATCTGTCCGAGTCTTCTCTCTGTCTCTTCTAAGGATACCCACCATTGGATTGGAGTCTACCTGGTCATCTAGGATGAGCTCCTCATCTTAAGATCCTTGCCTTCATTACAGCTATAAACATCCTTTTCCCTAATAAGGCCTCATTCACAAGTTCTGGGAGTTAGCAAAACACAGTGCTGGTCAGAGAAGGGCTCCTAGATGCCTCTGTTCACCCTCTTTTTTTTTTTTTTGTTTGAGACAGAGTCTCACTATGTCACCCTCAGTAGAGTGCTGTGGTGTTATAACTCACAGCAACCTCCACCTCTTAGGCTTAAGCGATTCTCTTGCTTCAGCCTCCCTAGTAGCTGGGACTATAGGCGCCTACCACAATGCCCGGCTATTTTTTTTTTTGTTGTTGTTGTTGCAGTTGTCATTGCTGTTTAGCTGGCCGGGGCTGGGTTTGAACCTGCCATCCTAGGTGCATGTGGCCAGCCCCTTAACCATTGTGCTATAGGTGCTGCCTCTGTTCACCCTCTTGAGAAGTGGGAAGCCCAGCCCTGCACTGTTGGTGGCCATTATTCAGGGTGCAGGTGAGCTGGCAGCGCTTCCCCTGCCCTCCTGCCCATGTTTGTTGGCATCAGCAGCAGTGTCCAGCTGGAGACAAAATGTCCCCATGCCTTTGAGAGCCTGCCCTAACTCTGTAGCCCAGTAGCTACCACTCCCTGGGGAACTGAGCTCCTCTAGCAGAGCTGTAGGTCTTGGACACCTCTGCCCTCAGCCCCATTTGCCCTCATCTGTGAGCTCTGGGTTGACTGGTGATCCCAAAAGATAGGTTTCCCTCAATGGTCCCCTTAACTCTCTTTCAGGCCACCCTCTACTGTCTGCTGCCCCTCCTTGGGGAGCTGGTGGTTTCTTTTTTTTCTTTTTTCCCAGGGGGAGGGAAGAGAGGAAGGAGGGGAATCAAAGACTGTCCTAGAGAGGGAAGGAGGTAAGGTGAGATTTGAGACTGGCAGAAGCAGGGGAAGCAGAGGCTGTACCTTCATTAAGGTGGGGTTGTTTGGGGTCAAGTCCTAAGCATCCTGCTTGAGAATTGGTCAGAGGGGAAAACAGTCAAGGGGAGCAAAGGAAGGAGCCAGGAGGAGCCAGAGGCAGAACAAGAGATAGAATCTTAGGGGGGCCAGGGAAATGAAAGGATCCAGGGACTAGAGGTGCTTCCTGGGAGGTGGTGGTGGGGGAAATGCAGCCACAGTGTTTCCCATGGAGCCAGTACAGTAGCAGCATCTGGGAACTGGAAAAAAAACTCGTGCTTGGGCCCCCTGGATCAGCTGAGGCTCACTTCCAAGAGACCAGGTGCCCTTCCTGCTTGTCCACCTGCCTGTCCCTGTAGGACTGTGCAAGGTTGACTATAGATTATACACCAAGGATCTGAAACCATAATTTGCCCAGCAGTGAGGCATTCTTCTTTCTTCCTTTCTGACTTGACTTAGATTGGGTTCCTGAACAACTGGCTGGATTCCTCTCAGGAGGGAGTCAGCCTGCCTGCTTTATTAGCTGTAGCACTTTTGTCCACACAGCTAGAAGCACTTCCTACCTAGAACCTGTGTCATTTCTATTGTTCATCCATATCCCCCTCTTGCTGGTCAATGCACAGGAGAAAAGTAGGCAAGCAATTAACACAATAAGAGCATTTCACCCTCACTAGTAACTAAAGCACAAACTCTGTAAGCAAAATATGATGTCAAAATAGCAACAAATGAAGCCCAATGTATGGTGCTCTGCTGGCAAGGGGCAGGGTGTAGGTCTTCTGATGTTGCCCCTTCTAAGGCACTGTTTGGTGGGATGGAACAAGCACTTAGGAAGTATCCTCAGCCCTCTTAACCCTAAGAGTTAGGTACTCACACTGACTCTGACATTGGACAGGTGCTCACTGCACCATCATTTGTAGCCACCAAAGGCTGTCATGAATTAAGAGGTTGTGTATCTGATAACATGGCCCTTCACAGCCACCATTTTGAACATTTTTTTTTTTTGAGATACAATCACCCTGAGTGGAGTGCCATGGTGTCATAGCTCACAACAACCTCAAACTTTTGGGCTCAAGCAATCCTCCTGCCTCAGCCTCCTGAGTAGCTGGTACTATAGGTGCCGGCTATAGCACCCAGCTGAATTTTCTATTTTTAGTAGAGATGGGGTCTCATTCTTGATCAGGCTGGTCTCGAACTCCTGAGCTCAGGTGATCCACCTGCCTTGGTCTCCCAGAGTGCCGTGATTACAAGCCTGAGCCACCTCACCTGCCATTTTTTTTTTTCAAGAAACAGTCTCACCCTGTCATCCTCAGTAGAGTGCTATGCCATCACAGCTCACAGCAACTTCCAGCTCTTGGGCTTAGGTGACTCTCTTGCCTCAGCCTCCTGAGTAGCTGGGACTATAGGCGCCTGCCACAACGCCCGGCTATTTTTTTGTTGCAGTTTGGTTGGGGCTGGGTTTGAACCCACCACCCTACGTATATGGGGCTGGCACCCTACTCACTGAGCCACAGGCACCGCCCATCACCTGCCATTTTGAACATCATGTCACATGGAACATGTTCTGTAGTATGTTGGCACAAACAGGCCAGGAGACAAACTTATGTATAAAGTGTGATCCCAGTAAAGAAATAAAAGCTTCTAGCATGGATGGATGTGGGTAGTCAGGTTACTGGTAATGAAAAGTTTTCCTTATATATTTATGTATTTTCTAAGTGTCTATAATTTGCATGCATTACTTTTATACATAGAAAATGTCTCTTCAAAGCTGTTCTTGTGTTAACACAGCTCTCAGAGGTTTTGTCCCCATTAGTGGCTGAGAAGAGTTCACTGTTGATACAATTGTTCATGGAAGAATGGCACAAAGGGGTTGACTTAAGGTTTCTGTGTGCCTGGAGTTTCCTGCAGCTGCCATAACAAAACACTAAAAACTGGGGAGCTTAAAACAACAGACATTGATTATCTTCTGGTTCTGCAGGCCAGAAGTTTAAGATCAAGGTGCTGTCAGGGTGAATTCCTTGGTGCCTTGTGGCTGCATCTCTCCAGTCTCTGCTGCTGTTGTCATGTGGCCTTCTCCCTGTGTACTCTGTGTCTCTTCTCTTCGTATGAGCTTACCAGTGTCAGAGATAAACAAAGGCAGGCATTCATTAAAGCCATAAAAACAGATGATTTTAGTAACTACTGGCAGTCCGGGGAGAGAGGAACTTCATACTGATGTATGCAGAGGGGATTGGGCATGAAACAGGGAGGTGAGGGGGTGGTGGGGGTGAGTGGAGGCTCAAGTGAAACATGACAGAGAGGGGGTTAGTGTCCATGCGGGGAAGCCAGCTGTTTATGGAAATTAGATTTCTGCCCTCCATTGGCAACTGGCAGATGGGGGCCTACGCTTCTTCATGGCTCTTGGATCCTTGAAAGGCACTGTTGGGTTGTAGGTGATACACAGACACCTCAACATAATGAATGTAAATGTACTAAATGTCACTAAATTTTTTTTTTTCTTTGAGACAGAGCCTCAAGCTGTCCCCCTGGGTAGAGAGCTGTGGCATCACAGCTCACAGCAACCTCCAACTCCTGGGCTCAAGCGAGTCTCCTGCCTCCGCCTCCCAAGTAGCTGGGACTACAGGCGCCCGCCACAACGCCCGGCTATTTTTTGGTTGCAGCCGTCATTGTTGTTTGGTGGGTCTGGGCTGGATTTGAACCCGCCACCTTAGGTGTATGTGGCTGGCGCCTTAGCCACTTGAGCCACAGGTGCTAAGCCACTAAATCTTATACTTTTTTTTTTGCAGTTTTTGGCCGGGGTCGGGTTTAAACCCACTACCTCCAGTATATGGGGCCAGCACCCCACTCCTTTGAGCTATAGGCGCCGTCCCTGAATCTTATACTTTTTTATGCTCTACGATCCCCAGTTTATTCATATGCAAAGTAAGGAGAAAGTATTTACAAAATATTGCCAGAAATGAGATATATATTTAATAAGCTAGAGGGAGTGCCTGCCACTCTGACTTTCTTTTTACATTTTTTGAATTTTAGAATGTTAAGGGGCATACACGTTTTGTTTGCATACTTTGTCT